GCTTGATGAGTCTGAACAGCCAGGCTACTGTTGTCTGAATGTGGCAGCTGGGAATCCGTTACACAGGCCTAGCCTACAAATACTGTCTGGTGAATATAATGCATGGAATGTGAAATATTGCAATCCAAGCAATGCTATGTGGCTCGAATTTATTATTTGAATCTGTGACAAATACAAGCTACCGGTAACAAAAGGATTGCTGCTTTAAAGGCAAATTGCTGTGTTTCTGATGAAAGAAGGATTTATTATCAGGAAAAGGAGCAAAACTGATCCAATAACACTATGATCTGGAGTCTGGAGTTTCCCTGACCTTAAACGTTGGTCAAACATTGGATGGAAGTAGTACTCAGGTGACTATAGAGGCAAGTGTTTGCATTCTGCAGAGGCTACAACACCCTTATTAAGACCTTTGACCCCACAATACTCCCAGTGCGCGGCTCTGTGAAGTACAGGGTTTTTTATTGGATGAGTTCAACCAAGAAGACAAACTTTGCGACTGTGGGGTTTTAAAAGGTTAAATCTTTTCCTCTCTATCTTTAAGTTGACTTATTTGTACCATTTGAACTTTGTTATAAAATCACCAAGCACAACTACTGAGGTTAGTTTGGAATTGGCAGCAAACATGTTGGCAGAGACCGTCCCTGCTGCAGGGAAACTAAAGTTATTTATTCCTGAGTCCAGCTTTATTTCTATATTAAAAAAAGTTGCATCAGACCAAAGTTTATCTGATCATTGAACAAACAGCACCTAAGCACCACCATACTGTGGTAAAAACAGCCCTATTGGATGTAGAGGTTATTTTAAAGAGTGAGGGAGACTCAGATGTATCTGTTTAAAAGTTGCTCTGTTGAAAGTTTTCCATCCATCTCCTTTGGAACAGGCAGGATTTACAAGGGTTGTGCTTTTGGGAATTTCTAGAACTGCTCAATACAAGGATGCCATTAAAGGTGCTGTTCATCCCACTAGGCTCCACATAGGAAAACACCTGAACATCTGGGCAGCCACAGCTCTGCTTCCTCTATCATACATCACACCTGATGGCTCTAAAAAAATAATCTAAAAAAAATGGTTTAGGTACAGAGGATTAGAGAGCCACTGAAAAAAAAAAGTTTTTAAATTTGATTTCAGTTTAATATGGGAAAAAAGACAGAATTCTGACTTTAATCTCAGATTTCTGACTTTAATCTCAGAATTCTGACTTTTTTTCTCTGAATTTTTGACTTAACTCAGAATTTTGACTTTTTTTCCCATATTAAACTAAAATAAAATCAGTTAACTTTTTTATTTTTTTCAGTGGCCTTAACCCTCTTCCGTATTTAGGAGCTCCAGCAGCCTCAGTTTCATCTCAGCACGTATGATGAGGCTGATCGGAGGGGGAGATCTCAGGAGATTTCTAAAGCTCTTAGCGGATGGTTTTCAGATCAAAGCTGAAGAGTCCTGATTGTGTGTCAACCTTTGCATGATAAATAATTCAGATTTCATCCCAGAATTCACCCTCCTCCTCTTGGAGACAATAAATGCACGTGAATATAAAGAATATTTCATTCTTTGAACAAAAATAGCAGATTGGGATAGAGTTTGCTGTCAGGGTGGATCAATCAGTGTGAGGGCGGTACTTGTTTTGCTGGTGAAGGTTCTCAGTCATCCAGATTATAGTCCATCCAAAAAAATTAAAAACAATCCACTGTTAAAAAAAAAAAAAAAAAGCAATCCACTGGACTTTGTTTCCAAGTTTGAAGATGTTTCACTTTCCATCCAGAAAGCTTTTTCAATTCAACATGTCAGAAAAAAGTGTTGAATTCCAGGTTTTATACAGTAGCCCAACAAAGCCTTGTTTTTGTTTTGAAAACATGCAAATTGGAACAGATGAAGGGGTCCACCCATCTAGAATGGGGGTCGTTTGGCTTCTTTTGTAAACTGCAATACCCCATACCATCTAAGTGTCTGAAAGGTCGGTTAAAGGGCTGAATAGACTTTGTTGGGCTACTGTATAAAATCTTAAACTCAACGCTACTCCTGACATTTTGAATTGAAAAAGCTTCCTGGATGGGAAGCGAAACATCTTCAAATGTGGAAACCAAGTCCACTAGATTGTTTTACATTTTTTCTGTACTTTTTTGTTGTTGTTTTTTTTCAAAATAAAGGGATATTAAATGATACAATTTCATCCAATGACCATACAATACGCTGCTCAGTGGCACAGTGGGTTCTCTCTGGGTACTCCAGCTTCCTCCCACAGTCCAGACACATGACTGTTAGGTTAATTGGTTTCTCTAAATTCTCCTTAGGTGTGAGTGAATGGTTGTTTGCCCTGTTGTCTCTGTGTTGCCCTGTCCAGGGTGTACCCTGCCTCTCGCCTTAGACAGCTGGAGATGGGCACCAGCAGCCCTCATGACCCCGATTGGGATAAAGCGTGATAGAAAATGGATGGATGGAGAATTTCATCCATGACAAAGTAGAATGTATGAATAAAAGATAACATTTCCATTATATAAGACTGGAAGGAGAGCTGGAGACAAGCTAAGCTGTGATTTGGGTTAAAAGCCCAATCCAAGGAGAAGAGGTGTTCCTATGGAGGGAGGAGGATACCAGAGCTGGAGAGGGGAGATATTCCCAGGCATCCTGCTTCTCATCCTCCTCATCCTCAGCTCTGCAGGCCCAGAATAATAAAAACAGGCACAGAGAGGCAGGGGAGCCTGTATGTGCTGCGGTGTCACGCAGCTGTCGCACCGCAAAGCTATTATTAAACCCGACCACACGCACACGTAGAGTCAGGTAGGCCAGGCGGATTGTGTCAACATCTCAAGGTCACACCGCGGCTCCGAACCGCTCGGTGTTTTTCCTAAAGCAGCACCGCAGCTGAGACAAAGGGCAGCGGCCGAACCCCGCAGCCCGATCCCGCTCAGCTCTCACCCAGTGCGGGCTGCACAGAGGCGTCCAGGGCCGGTTCCTCCGGCTGACAAACATCTGGATGGGAGGAGCGGGAGGAGGAGGGGGAGGATGAGGAGCTGGGGGCGCAGGAATGAACGGCCGGATTCCGTTAGTAGTGGAGTCCCGGTAAGGATGGAGATGAGGGAAGGTGATAAGGATGGAGGGGAGGAACAGAAAGAGGAGGAGGGGGCGCTTTCTTTTTTCTCCCCCCATCTTTTAATTAATTCCTTACCCTCTGACAGCTCCAGCTCCAGCTCCGCCAGCCGGGCTCGGATCTCCAACGGTATCGGCGACGCCTCGCGGTCCGCCATTCGGCTGGTACCGAACTGAACAGGTCTCCGGCTTGATAAGCTGCCTCCTCAGCCGCTCCTGCTCTCCTCCTGTATCGGGAGCGCTTCTCCTTCTCGGCGGCGGCCCCTCCTCAGCGGAGGCGCGTAAAGACAGAGAGGCGTCGGGGGGGTAGAACAAAGAGGATAAATGTGGGTCTGGTTTTAACGGGGGACCGCCATGTTGCCCGCTTCCTTGGCTCGGTGAAGACCCTCCGGTGGTTCGGTCGGTTCTCCTCTCTGCCGCTGCAGAGGTTCTGCTGGCTGTTGGGAAGAGGATGATGAGGCTCGCGCAGCGCCGCACTCTCAGCCGTTTGAAGCTTGCTGCTGTCACGTGACCGCAAGGAGTTTTAAAAAAAAGAGAGGCGGGTACACTCATCACCGACAGGGGGCGCAGCGTCCAACCACTCCTCTTCAATTAAACCAGAATAACATGAGATCAGATACTTCAAATTCTGATTGATATTTATCTATAAATTAATTTAAAAATAATATTTCTAAAAACACATTTATTTTCACTAAATAATTAAATATTTCCTTAGTTAGTTAATTACTTGCAGTATGTTTTAATGAATTTTAGACCAAAAAAACAACATGTTATTTTTGTAGATATACATTTCTTTAGAATATAAAATATATTTAGTATTTCATGTCTTCATTTTAATGCTTTTACATTAACAAACTCATTTACATGCTTTCTTTTTGAATTAGATTTTGGCGTATTGTTCTTTTTTTTAATATACTAAAGATTTTTGTTGTGTGAAAAATATGATTATAAAAATTTTCAATAGTTAAAGAATTTTTAGATATATATTTTCTTTCTTAGAGTATTTTTTCATGTCTTACGTAGAAAAAAGCCTAATTACATTGTTATTAAATTGTTTTCAAAAACCTAATCAAAACAAAACATTTCCAAATCAATCATTCCCTGAATTAATATTTATGTAGATGTTCAACATAAAATAAAGCAAGATACAAAATGTGAAAATTGTTGTGTATTTATGATTTATCAAGGTTTTTTGAGAGGCTGTTCAAATAAATCTGTTACCTGGTCATTTACTTTCTTAAAGGTTTTCTTGTCATACATTCTTTAAAAATAAAATAAAATTTTATCCAGTTCATAGTGAATTGAATGGCACCAATGTCGTCTTTCAGACTCTGATTGCAGACAAACCAATGCATTAAAACTTCTTATCTCCTTTCAAAGGAAATTAAAAGAAGTATCTCTATGACTCTGGGGATTAAAGGGACATATTTTCCTTTGCATCCATAGTCTTTAGAAAGCTTCCTGAAACAACACTATTTCATGATATTTTAAATTTTCTGCCATGTGATGTTTAAATTATCCATTCCTTTAGGAATATTTATTTGCAGATTATTCACTCCAATCAAGGCCTCAGCAAAGGAAGATTTAATTGCAAAATATTCAGAAAATTTAAAAGACCTCAACCAAACATTAACCTGTTTGATTAGTAATTTCCTACTATCTATCTGATCATTCCAGCTTCTTTTTTGCAGGTAATGCTTAAAGTTAATGTCAGATTACCTGAAAATGGAAGAAAAACAGTGGTTTCTATTCTTATCACATTAGTCTTGTCATCATGTTTGACCTGAGATGACCTGCAGCTGAAAGCGGGGGAAATGAATTAAAAAGTGTTCAGTCTGAGCGGAGAGTCTGTGACCCATTTTCATTAGAGGAGATTTATGAAGCCTGCCAGAAAAAAAGGGTAAAACAAAAAACTCTAAACTTCCTGCCTCATAGTACTTTCCATTTCATCTGTGAAGGCAAAGAAATGAGCAGGCCTAGCTGTTTTAATACAGCGAGGGTGTCATCAGGCTGGAGGAGGTTGGTTTTTATTTTAGGGCTTTTGGAGCAAAAATACATCTGATGAAAAACAGCAGGATTTGTTGAACAACAAATGTGGTTAGTCAAATCTACTTGATTAAAATCATTCCACTTAATTCAAATACGTTTCAACAAGATTCAAAGATAAATCCTAAATTCTTACGTTTAATTTCAGTAAAATGTGATGAAATGAGCTCATTTCA